GGAGCTGAGTGCCAGCCGGGAGCACGGCAGAAGACTAAGCAATGACTGACTGAAAGGCAGAAAAGACACACTCACAAATAAGCAGATGTTTGCTTACTGAGAGGGGCGTTAGCACTAAGAATTAAAAGGGTACTTTAGACCACCTAATAATGAAAATTGTGTGTAAATTCTCATACAAATAAAAAAGAACAATAAAACTCAATCATAAGAACAATAAAACTCATTTTTTCTGACCAGTTACAAACTTCAGTGTTGAGGCTTCACCCCCCAAAAAAAAGATTATTTATGCATTATCTAATGGCTTTACAGCAGTGGTGGCAATTCCCTCTGGTTTCATGACAAGAACAAACTCACTTGTAATACTGTTTCTGAAGGGCCGACATCTCTACCCTGAGGATCTGCTCCACTTTGGCAGGAAGGGACTTCTCAACGTCTTTTTTGACTCTCCGGAGAAGGAAAGGCTCCAGCACCTTGTGAAGACTCTGGTAGCCATTCTCTCTCCCTTTTCCATGGTCTTCTTCGAAGTCTTCCCAGAACTCAAACCTAGGCACAAAACAGGCATAGTGCTGCTGAGTTACACAGAAAAAAATTATTTTTTAAAACTAAATTATCAAAAAAAAAAAACCTAAGTTATCTTTTACAAAGAATTAAATGGGGGAAAAATATGTGCAGAAAAATGACCTTTTTCCCACAAGGAAAGACAAAACTTATCTATCACTAGGCTCTTGAATAAAAGAGGAGGACAAACAGAACAGGGACAATCAACTGAATCAATATCATCAGTCTATACTGGATTACAGCAGGTTTCCAAGTCTCCAACTGAATCCATTTATAAAATATTTCAGTACACCATGCAATTAGTGTAAGGAAAGTTATTCTTATCAAATGTTCTGCAAAAAAATATCATAAATCCCCCCCAGCATACTTATTGAAATAAGGTCTCACTATGTATTGCAGGCTGGCCTTGAACTCACTATGTAGTTCAAGCTGGCCTGAAGCACTCCTCTTGCCTCAGCCTCCAGTGTGCTGGGATTACAGGCACATGCCACCACACCCAGCCCCATAAACTACATCTTAACAATCTCTAATTGCTTGGGGAAATAAAACTTAGGAGTAAAAGAATATTAGTGGCAGTATTATTCAACTGTCTCTGCTCTGTGGTAAAAGTTATATAGTATAACGTCCAACAATACTCTTCACTTCACACACTAAAAAGTTAATATATTATAATGACAGTAAATAAGACTATAACCCAAACAAGAAATTCAGTAAGTGATCCAACTTTTCTAGAACTTGGGGGTATGAATTTAATCAGTGGACTTATAAACATATTACTCATAATATTTCTATCTAAACTCTACAGATTTTCATGTATAAATCTTAATTCAACCACACTCCATTCACTAAAAGATCTATGGTAAAAGTCCAGAACGGGACATTATAAGATTACATTCAAAAATAAAAAATGAGAGAAATTTGAATACATGCAGATTAGGAAATATGGCTTTGTCTTTGCTGCTACAAAGCCAATGAAGCCCTTAACAAAACTGAGTTCTGTGCACAGAGAGAAGCTCTATAGGAGGGACACACTGTTCACTAGCCGAGGAAAGACCAGGAAGCTCTAACTGCACTGGGGTGCTCTAACACCAGTGGCCCTGCTCTGCCGAGCTCTGTCAAGTATGAGGCTGAAAACCTCGCAGGACCACTACTGCCTAGACCTATGCAAGACTCAAAGCATATGCTCTGGCAAAATTAAAAGCCAGTGAATACATGCCAAACCTAATAATGGACAAAAGGCCTCAACAGTCCACTGCCATTTCTCCACTCAAAAATGAGCAAGCACTTCATCAAGTATGGCAAAGTGGATCAGCACCAGCCTTAGGGATGCCTGGTAATGCCTGAAACAAGCATCTTCAAGGAAGTAAATAAATGATACAGACCCAAAATCTTCATAGGGAATATAGTCTGATAAACCTAAGGTAAATATTCTAAGAACATAAAATAAAGGAGGGATTAAAGCAAATAAAAGGATTGAAAGGAAGAACGTGAAGTGAACTGTACCAATAATGGGGATGACACCTCCCACACAAAATGTCTGAAGTGCATCCGACTATTTCTAAATACTCAGAAGGCAATTTCAAGAAGCCCATTTAAGTTACGTAACATAATTATAACCATACTAATTTGAAAAGTCAAATGTATACTTTAGTTACAAGATTTTTTTTTTCCTGGTACCGGGAATCGATCTCATGATGTCGCGCTTGCCAGGCAGGCACTGTGCCACTGAGCTAAATCCCCAGCCCCTAGCTACAAGACTTACTTCCTGCTCGTTTAGGGAACAATTACGTTCACTGCCTACTGTAATACTGAATTAAAGGAGTTAATCTGAGGCACCATTTCTTGAGATACACACACTGACCCACATTTTATGAAATGTCTGTGGCTGTTATCTCTCTAAGAACAGAGATGAATAGTTGTGATAAAGACTCAGCCTCCAACCCCAAAATATTTACTATCACAATCTTTAAGGAAAATGTGCTATCCTCTTCAAAAGATACAAATTTACACGTACAAAAGGTGTAAGGCAGTGTAATGAATGTGCAGTAACATACCATACAAAGAGATGCATTATTTTTACATATATCCCATTATGGACTTCTGTACTTAACAGCTGTCTCACAAAAACAGAAACAGGTTTTTTAATTTTTCAGACCTTAAGAACTTTACAACATTAATGTTACCTCAGTGTTTTAAAAACACAATTTTCAAGAAATAAAGATTTTCTCTAATCAAGAAAATAAACTCCGCATGCCTAACTCTAATGTATGATTCAATAAATGATTCGACTGACCATGAAGAAAACTTTGGAGGACACTATTTGAATAATCATATCTAAGAGAGAAAGTAATTCAAAACCCCTCTACAATTATGAAAGCAGAATCTGTAATTTTCCTCTAAAATGCTGGGTGGAATGTGACATCTGCTCAACAGCAGACAAAAACTATGAGCCAAAATGCCTACCATCCACCTCTGCAGCCAGTATACTCCTCATCCTATCTCTACACAAGCAAACATGTATGTTCCCACTACATCCTGTGAGCAACTTTGGGCTAAGAGAAGACAGGGGAAGAAGGGATGCAGGAGGGGCCCTTCTCCCAGAAACACACGAAGTAAGGAGAGAGGGAAAGCGAGAAGGCAGGGTGCTTAATCCACTTCTCGTCACAGCTACAGGGAGGACAGCACAGTCAAGTTTCTCTACCCACCTTCTGAAGTCTTCAACTATCCTTCACAAGTAATGGTAAAAACAGAATAGCCACAGACAAAGAAATCAACCCGCTGCTAGTAGATCTGCCCTACAAGAAATACTAAAGGAAACTCTTTGGGCTAAAAGAAAGTGACACTCAATGGCAGTCTAAATCCACAGGAAGAAACGAAGATCATTGGAAATAACAGAAGACAGCATAAACATGTTGTTCAATTTTCTAAGATTCCTTAAAAGACAAGCCCCTATAAAACAATTAAATCAATGTATTGTGAGATTTATAAAATACAGAGAGAGGTAAAAATGGAATTACAGCAGAACTAAGTTGTATTTTGCCAGAATTGAGACATTACTAACATGAAAAAGACTATGGTAAGTTCAGAGGCATAATCTCTAGAGAAAACAGTATGAAAATAATTCTAAAATAATGAAACTATTAATGAACAGAAAAATCAAAGGGCACACAAAAAATATTTGCCAAAACAAAAGAAGGCAGTAAGAAGAAATAGGTTAGGGGGTTTCATATACCTATAATCCCAGCACTACAGAGGCTAAGGCAGAACAAACAGGAGTTCAAGGCCACCCTAGACTACAAAGTCTGTCTTAGTCTTTTTTTTTTTTGGTTGTTTTGAGACAGGGTCTCGCTATGCAGTTCAGGCAGGCCTTGAGCTCACTTTGTAGCCCAGGATGGCCTCAAACTCACAACGATTCTCC